GGATAAAGTCATAAGGAATAATTATACACACTGCGTCACACATCGACAGGCGCTTATATCGATTTTTCATGCGACTGATATTTCAGCGGGTAGAGAACAAACTCCGAACTTCACAAATCTGCATTAAACTTGGGCTTACAAAGAAAGAATTGCTACTTAATACAGACACTTCAGACTAAGCGTTTGGGCTAGCGCGCACGAGCGGTTTTTCTGCCGTAGCGGTAAAACTACCGAACGTGCGGTCGCTTCCTGTTGATACAGTGCGTTCCATCAATGCGGCAGAAAAACTGCTCGTGCGCGCAAGGTCCTAGCAGACCCACAAGGTTTCTGAATAGTTCTTTGTTTGTTCTTTAGCCGACTTCAAATCGATATTGTATGCTCCGTTACTGTTGCTGCTTTGTTTGGATTTGAATTTGTCAAGACGCATTCATGTCTCTTCTAGAACGTGTCAACGCCCTTTCCTGGCATTGAGACACAAAGAACATGAACATGAATGAACAGACTGGTATAGTGTTAGATCGACGTGAATAATAGGCAATTGTGTCCTACGGAGCTGATTTTCCGTTCAAGGTTTTCAGCGTCATGGATCAGAACTGAGTAGACTGTATGTGAAATCGACGCAGGTTTAATATGATTTTATTTCTAGCGATCAAAATACTGTTATGGTTATTAATTAAAGGAAAATGAGATTGGAGATTGTAGCACACATGGGAGAATGAGGAACTTCAGTTCGAATACCTGAAGGGAAGAGAATAACATATTGATGTAATAAAAATATATAAAGAAATAATATTGAGATTGATCTCAAAGAATTATAACGTGGACGGATTCAAGTGGACCCGGAAAGGGTCCAGCGACGGGCGCTTGTGAACACTGTAATTAAACTTGGTGTTAGACGGGGATATTTTGATTATCTGAGTTAATGTCAGATTATCAAGGACTGTTCTTTGTGTATTTTAGATTTAGATTAGTATACGTAATGTGATTTCTGCCCTTGCTGTTGTAATTTATTTAAGAGCCTTCGCATTACATTGTAACATCAAGTGTAACGTCTCACTTTGGTTACACTTTCTTTTCCAATGATTTTATGTTTATATATCTATGCACAATTTTCTTAGGTACAAAGACACTTGATAATCGTTGTGGTAAAAGCTTCATTTGATTTTCATCAGACGAAAGTCGAAAGTTTTATATCAGTTCGAAGTATAAAGATTTTCAAAATACTTCACAGGTTAGCTTGACACCTTCGTACTGATATTCGTTTATTTTAGATTCACGTGTATTGTTGATCAGATGAAATTTTCTTGACATTGTTTAGTGCGGACCCCAAAGAAAATTTATTCGACATGGAGTAAGTTGTTCGTAGGTTAAGCATGTGGAAAAATTAAGAAAGAAATAATCAAAAAACCGAGAAGTAATTCTTAACTCGAGAGAATAAAAAATACTGCTCACGAACTGCATTGTAATAACATTCACGTAGGCTTGATGTTGAAGAGAAATTTTGCTGCGCCATAATTGGGTGTCTACCATGTTTGATACGACACGTGTTTACTGCAGTTCAGGTTTGAACTTGGAGCATTATTTAAATTCAATAGCATACGGCCATTGGAAAGTCTCGTGTTATA